TGTTTATTTCAACGGAAGTGTGGATGACAGTTTATGTGGCATGAGTCAGTAATTCCTCCGAGCTTCAGTAGTAGTCGGGGGGAAGTCGAAAATTCCAGTTTGGCAGCAGGATGCTGCTTCTGGAAACTTTCCTTTTTAAGACTACTCATAGCCGCAACCCGTCCTCCACTCAAGTCCATTCCATCCAGCGGTCGACCCCACACACGCATAAATTTTTACATGCAGTTCATTCAAAACGGGATTTTTTTTCAAATATAAATTAACATTATAAAATATTAGTATATTATGGTGGTTTAGTATAGTTTTTAGGTTTAGTATAGTATATTTATGGTTTAGTATACTCTAATATTAGTATAGTGGTTTAGAGTCTGTTGTCGATTATTTGTATCTGTAGTACGTGGGTGAAGCATTTACACCAACCCGTCCTCGACTCAAGTCCATTACATCCAGCTGTCGACCCCACAGACGCATTCATAACTTTTAACATGTTGTTCATTCAAAACGGGATTTTTCTCAAGTATAAATTAATATTATAATATAATAGCATATTGTGTATATATAGGATAGGTTAGGTTAGGTGTTTAGGTTCTGTTGGCGATTATTTGTATTTGTAGTACGTGGGTGAAGCATTTACAGCGTCGTGGTTCGAACAGAATTCGTCAGTGAAGCACTTGTTCCGGAAGTGTTAGAACGTCGTCAGTTGTGAGTCGTGTTGTAAACATTTATTCATTCATAAACAGGGGGTTTGGCGGGTGGATGGAATCACTTTTGGGTCTGTGTTTGGAGGGCGGGCTTCATATCCTAGTTGATAGAGCTTGTGCCTCACACGCGGCATATACTCATCCACATTGTCCAGGTCAATGTTATGTTTATTTCCACGGAAGTGTAGATGACAATTTATACTCTATCCTTTTTAGATTTATTTCATTATCTCAATAAACTTGAACCTCACTCACATGTAACATTACTCTGTGTCTTTCTAGACAATTTAAGTTAAGTTTTCTTAATCCACGTGAGGCTTCCAGGATTAAACGTTAAAGTATATTAATTACAGGTCACAATAACTCAACCTTATATTAACTATTTCGTCGAAAGTACCAATATGTAGCGATGGACCACCAGTAAAACCTAAAGTTAAATATTCCTAGGCCGTAAATAGACATTACCTATATGAATGGGGCTGTTAGTGTGGAAGAGTATTCCACTCTAGAGAGCACTAGTGTCCTGAAGTATCATTGGTATGGCATCTCTTGTTTGAAAGGTTCTTTTTATCCTACCTGTCATTTTTCTTGCAGTTATGACAGCTACTTTGTGTTCATTAAAAGTAAGGCATCAAACATGATTACTCCCAAATCTTTTTGATTGTTTTCTGGGGGGGGGGGGGGAGCCTCGACAACTCTGCGCGCGAACTAGTACTCCCGCTCGTTAGCAGACAGCCCTCCCACCAATGGACAAGGGAGTAGGGAAGCCTGCTCAGGCAAGCTCGCTGTCAACCCTCCAGTCCTCGTCTGATGTGCTTCACGGTCACAGTTACCTTTGGCCTCGCTTTCCTGTGTGTATGTTGCCCTGTGTGGCTGTGTGTGGGGTTGTGTTGTCCAGGTGTTCTTGGTACTTCGAGCTGCATGTGCTCTGGGTTACATTCATAGTGGTCTGAAAGTAGTGCCCTTGCGTTCCCTGGGCGTTCAGGACACACTTTCTGTTGGGGGCTTTGTTGCTTGACGAGGTCTGCGCCCTTGGGAGTACGTCGGGAGTTTTTGGCCTTTCATCTTGCTCTGGGTTGGGGAGCGTTTTTGGCTGGGGTGCCCGTTTGTTGGGGTGTGGTTTTGGTGCTTTGCTTAGATTGTTTTCTTGCGGAGTTTTGCCCTTTTGTTTTGTGCGGAGGTAGGCTTAGCGGCTTATTACAGTCCTTGGTTGTTTCTCCGTTGCACCTCTATTCCTGGTGGTCAGTTTGCCTGCTTTCAAGCAGGGGGGGGGGGGTATCTTAGCGCAGCACCTGGGCTTCCCGCAGGAATAACGTACCCTGCGGGTCCTGGTAAACCCTTGTGGGCTCGGTTGGTAACATGGAATCCACTCTCGCCTTGTGCGATGCTGTTGGCTGTTCGTCTCCCTTACCTCTGGGCGACAATCACCCTTTCTGCCTCCGCCATGCTGCCTGTTGGGTCGGTGACACCTTCGACCCAGAGTCTTGTGGGACGTGTTCTCCATTTGTGCTTCAGTTTACGCATTCCTCTTCCAGGGATGAGAGGTTCCAGGCGGCGGCTGCGTTGCACGCTCGCTTCTTTTCCTTGCAACGCGCCCGCTTGGAGGCCCCGGAGCTGCCCCGCTTGGGGTTTAGGGACCAGGATTTGGGGGCGTTGGTTGCTTCGACCTTGCTTCCGTCCGCTCCCCCTCTTCCCTCCCCGGTGGGCATGGTTCGCTCTGCTCCTCCCCCCCTGCTTCCGGCTCCCAAACGTCTTAGGGTTTCTGGGTCGGTGCAGGGTAAAGCACCGAGGGTTACCCCTTCAGATTCGGGTGCGGAGATGGTTGAACCTGATCTTCCCGCCAAGGCTTCTGGTTCATCCCAGCTGCCTTCCTTCTCGAAATCCAAGGGATCAAAGGGATCCTTTTCTTCAGGGGTGGGCGTGGAAAAGGGTTCGGCCCTGAGGGACCGGTTGAGGGTCTCTGGGGCTCGGGGGGAGTCCGTTTGGAGTGATTGGGCTCCATTTGACCCTGCTTGGACCTTTGTTCCCTCTGAGCAGGGCTTGCTGCTTCAGGGTAAAGGGTTCTCGTATCCTCCTTCCTCATATAAGGTTGACTTCGGCGTGTTTCCACCCCGTGTGCGCTTTCGGGTGCGATTGGGTTCCGTGGATTCGTCTTTCAGGAGGTTTCCTTCTCGGATTTCCCCGGCGGAGGTTTGGGAGACCCTTGGTGCATACCTCCTGCGAGACTCGGATTACGCCTCTGTGATGGATCCGGCTTCTTTTGAGTTCGGGTCGTCTTCACCGTATTGGGTGCGTTATGAGGTTCCGGAGTCTTCCTGGCTGGCAGACTGTCCTTATTTCTCTTTGGGGGCTTGGCATGGCTTCTGTCGTTCCCGTGCGCTTGAGTGGCAGGAGGTTTCTACGGTGTTGCAGGTGTTCTTGGGGGGTTCACTAGAGTTCCTCAATGAGTGCCTCTTCGCTCCTGCGCTTTCTCGTGACGTGGGTCTGGTGCAGTTACATGCTCAGGTGCCCACTCTTTCGACTGCTTTGGCAGCGGAAGACCACCGGGCTCGCGGTCATTTGGCTTCGGTCTTGCGCCTCTTCGGTCTTCTAGAGTTGTCTTCGGACAGGCTCTCGGAAGATGTGGGGGCGTTGAGTGAGGGGCCTTCCACTGCAGTTTTGGTCTCTGCTGCAAAGGCGTCGTCTGCCATGCTGAAGCTGGTTGTGCCGATTCTCCAGGAGGCGGTCTCCATGTTCTTCTCATCTCGCTTCGCGTGTCGGCAGGCCGTCCTTGGCCTCTCTTTGGATTCGGCTTGGGGTCTGGCTTTGCAGTCCTCGTCGCCATTTTGTCCTTTGTTGTTCCCCGAGGACTTGGTGGCTCAATTTTTGTCGGCGGCTGCTGCTAGTTGCCGTCCCATTTCAGATTTTTTGGTGTTGCGGGGCAGCCGTTCTCGGTTGTCCCGTTTTGGTCGTGCCAGGGTTCTGTCCTCTGCTGGAGCAGGTAGACTTTTTGTGCCAGTGGTTATGCCCCCGGATGCCCGGGAGCCTTCGTCTTCTGGTTGGCGCCGTGGTCGTTCTGTGCGGCGTTTGGCTTCTCGGGGTTCGCGGGTTCGTCGAGGTTTGCGGGTCGCCCCGTTGACAGGGCATTGGGATGGAGGCTCTTCTTTGTTCACGCTTAGTACCACAGTTCGTGGGCATTTTGGGTCGTTTGCTTTTGGTCTTTAGACCAGGTTCTTTCTTTTCGTTTTTTTGTTGTGGCTACTGATTATTTTCATAAGTTTATTGTGTTGTTTTCTTGGGGGGGCTTGTTGGGTTGGGGAGCTTTCATGCTCTCCTTCGGCGCCGGGGGTTCTGTTACTTTTGTTCCTTTTGTTTTGTTAGTTTGCATGGCGTTTGGTTTGCATTTGCACTTTTTTTATGGCGAAGAACGAGTCGGCGAGCATCCGGAGGAGGATGCTATTGGGGTGGATGATGCTGTTTTTTTTTTTGGTGATTTCTTGGTCCAAAAAAAATTTGGGATACTATTGGGGTGGATG